CCATGAGGCATTTCAATAAAAGACCAACGGGTTCACATATTGATTACTATGTGCTTCAAACTCTGACCAGAAATGGCATCTCCTTCAACTTCTCCTCCTCAGTCTTATGTGCCCTTTCCTTTCTGCTTTCATGCAGCTTAATTTCTGCCCATTCTTTTGGGTAGGGGAGAACCACCATTTAATTAATAAGTTTATTTGTTTAATACACCACTGAGTATATTTAAAATTTCTCTAACTGGTTCACAAAATACTTTAAAATATAAATTAAAATACATTAAAATATTGTGCAAGTATGGTAACTTTTTTTAAAACCACTGTACCATAGGACTAGAAATATAACATTGATTTGTTAGGACAAGACTCTCATGTTCCTTTGTGATTAGTGTGTAAATCAGAATTTATTGTGCATTCCTGATTCCTCACTTATGGAGGTTTGCAGAGCCTATTTACAGCGTTCTCATTCTCCAGGGCCTTTCCCATGTTTTCCAGCCTTTTGAGCAGGTCCTTTTAGAGCAAGGAAAGCCAGGTATGAAATTTTAAAATGTGACAAACCAGAACAGATGCCTTATGAGAAGTCTGAAATCCATGACAATGCAGCTATCACACATTGCCACCTTACAGTTAATTTATAGAATATGTAGAAAGGCAGAAAAATACCAAACCTGGAAAAAAATCCCTTCTGTAAAGGATGTACATTTCCTCCCACAGCAAAAACATCAAAAAACATCACAGCAAAGAGGTGGAATAATCCCCTCATGTAGAAAAGCCCTTAAAAAGGAGTTGGGTGGGTAACATCTGATTCAGGTGAATGGATAGAAAGAATTGTTAAAGACAAAATAAAAAACACAGAGAAGACCAAACCTGCTGTAGAAGAATCAACACAGCCACTGCAAACATAAGTCCCATGTCATGAACATTTTAGAGGTAAGAACCAGATGAACACGGATGGGCCAACACGGTCATTGTGTGCTTGGACTTTCCAGGGGCTTTTGATGGGTTCTCTCACCAAAGGCCACTAAGTAAACTAAGCAGTAAAAAGGGAGAGCCTCTTTTGGATCAGTAACTGCTTAAAGAAAAGGGAGCAGGGAATAGATATAATGGAAGAATTCGTACAATGACAGCATATAAGCAGCAGGGTCCCTCAAGGACTTGTATTGACAATGGTGCTATTTAGCTTGTTCGCAAATGATGTGGCACTTGGAATAAACAATGTAGCGGTGGTAAGATTTGCTGATGACAACAGCAAAGTATTCAATGCGGCAAAAAGAAGAACAGATGGTGAAGACTTCTAAAGCGTAAGTGGTTTGGCGCGAACAACTGTTCCCCCTTAGCTCACAAAGCAGTAGTAGGCTGTGAGCTCAGCAGGTCTTGACGCACCAGAAAGGAATCTTGGGGTCATGGTGGACAGCTTAATGGAAATACTGGCCCAGTATTAAGATGAAAATGCCAATTTCATACATGCCTTTATACAGATAAGTGATGTGATCACATTTGGAACACCTTGAACAGTTCTTATAGCTGCATTTTGATAAGTTTACTGTAGAACTGGAAAGGCTGCAAGAAGGGGCAACCAAAAGAATATCAGGCAAATTCATGGAGAAAAGCCTGCCAGGGGCTACTAGCCATGATGACTGTGTGCCCCAGGATCAGAGGCTATTACCCTTGTCTCCTGCTTGTGGGCTTCCTATAGGTGTCCATTTGGCCAATGTGAGAATCAGGATGTTGGGCTACTTAGGGATTTGGTATGATCCAGCAGGGCTCTTATTATGTTCTTACGAGTTGCTTCTTGCTATCCAACTCTCTTCTTGGCCTTCCGCAATCAAACTTTTGTCTGTACTGCTCCACTCCACCTGAATTTTAATTAATTTATTAATTTTATTATTTTCATTTTATTAATTTACATTTTGCCTGTTTTAACTTGTTTATTTGTTATAATATTTTAACTGTATTGTTTAATTAATTTTGTTATTGACATTTTTATTGTAATAGCTGCCCCAGAGAGCATGATGCTAATGAACAGCTTTTATACTAATTTAATAAATAAATAAATATTAAAGTCCCCAAGCCTTTTGTTTTAAAATTGCATCAGTGTTTAGATTGTGCATTGCCACTGGGTTTTGTCTTGGTTTTTAATTTGTTTCCATTCTGATTGAAACTTCAAGTTTTTCTATTATTACTATATTTTGTGGTTTTAAAATGTTATTATTATTACTACCTTTTATAGTTTTAAGTGTTCAGAGAGCTTCAGTAATGGGTGGCACAGAAATACAATAAATATATTTTGCCTCCTTCTGGCAAAATTAAGGATGGTAAATATAAAATGCTGTTTCCAGTTGTCACTTGGTTTGATCTGCTTACTGTCTTTGCTGCCATTAATCATTCTGGCTTCCTTTCTTCAGTGGACTTCTGCAATAAAAGATCACCTCCAATATTCATTGACATGGCTATTTTCAACACCCTGAGTCGCTACCATACTTACTAACTGTGGTTGCAGATTTTTTAAAAAAGAAGAATGGTAGTGTGTATGAGTTACGAAATTGGGATAAAATCAGGCCCTAAATCAAGTGGTAGAAAAATCACTGTGCTAGTGATAGATACTTCAGCCTTAAGGTTGAAGTATCTATCACTATCTACAGAAGGCCATACTTTTTATTATACATTAATTCTGAATTCTCAATCATTAACACAGTTACATTATGACCTCACAGTTGGTGAAGCATGTTAGAATCCCCATGCTGTATATACCATGAATCAAAAAGATGGTGAAAACACATCCTTTATCATGCTTTAACTGCTCTCCCTGTTTATAAGATTAGCTCATGTGTGGCATGAAAAATCTGACCATTCTGCTCTTAAGCTTCTGCCTTCAGATGCTGCAGCAAAGCCTCCGTATGGAGGTGTTAAAATTGTCTAAAACACAATGAGAGAGATGCGACAAAAGAGGGGGTTTTGGCTGAAGTAAGTGTCTGGAGGCACAACAAGTAGCAACTAAGAGTTCATATGAGGATTAAGGGTTTGATTTTCATTTATGTTTACTCTGGCAGCAAATTGGGTTTTAATCTCTCTTTATAGGAAAACTCACTTGGCTGTGATTCAGGCTCTGTGCTGCACTGCTTCAGACAAATCTGCAGGCAATCCAGCATACACTGGTCTTCTAACCCTCTGCATCTGGTTGAATGCAGACTGTGCCGTTTGCATGGGTAGCCTCCCCGTTGTTTGTAAAGCGGTACAGTATGATAAGGGCTCTCCTCTGTCATACTCAAGGCCACATCCAGGGCTTTGTGGGCCCTCAGACAAAACATGGTCACTGGGGCTGGAAACAATTGCAAGGGAATTCTGAAGCAATTGTTCCAACCAATGCCTCTCCGCAGTATGTCTGATAGTATGTGGACTGCTTGACACCAAGGCTGCCTGTCTCAAGCAAGAAGCAATTATCCCGCTGCCTCTATGGGTGTGCCCAAGGCCAAAGCTAGGCTGGGTTCTGGCTTGCCTCAGCCAGGCCTGTGTCCCGAGCTGTGTGCTAAGAGCTGAGCTGAGAACTAGGATGGCCACTTATGAATTACCAAACAAGAAAAAATGGGGCACCCAAAAAGGACACACATTGACATATGCTACTATGTAAGTACAGATGCAGATTGTAAATGATTATTATGATTCATCTCACTATCCTGTGACCAGGGGAGCTGTGTCCTTGCCAGCTAAGCCTGCTGTCCAGGTGCTAATTAAGGATGTGCATCAGTTCTTCTGGTTCGTTATATTTAAACTGGAATTGGACAGGGCATTCCTTCCCAAAGAGGACGCCTTTGAATACAGGATGATCTCTGGTGACCCTTCAAACATAGGACTTATCCTCTGTAAGAGAGGACACCTGGCCACCCTACGAACCCCCAGCTTCATTTGGCAGGTGGTTTTTCTGTGGAAGAATGCTGAAAAGGAGCAACAGACCCAAGATTTTAATTACATGCTAAGAAAGGGGGTGGGGGGAAGGTGACTGCTATGAATAATATAACATGACATTTCCAAAGTGGCTTGGGGAGAACTGCCTTGTGGTGACTCATTTCTTTGTAAGGACAGTTTCAGCCTTATGTTTTCTTGGGGAATACTGTGGGTGTGCAAGCCTATATGACATAATTTTCTAGACGCAATGAAGTGAGATCAGGGGGAAATGCATGGGAAAAGGAGGGCCCAAGAGATCATTCTTTGGATATCTGCTTTAAGGTGAATTATGCATAATCCCTCTGATACCCACAGTCTACCCATGGTGTCAAAGAGGGATTTAAAGACATCAGGGAGGGGGATTCTGAAAAGGAGGCCAAAAAATGGTTATGGCTGCCTGTGTTTCAAAGTTGATGTGCAAATAGCTTATGCAACAAGCATCTGTCAGTCATCAGTTTAGTAAATGTTCACATAAATCACTGCCAAAAAACAGCAGGTGTATCTAGAGATGTAGCAGGCCAGATGTTTCTTTCTCCACATGACTGTGTCTCCCAGGCACAATTAGGCTGTTCTGTGTAGATGTCTGAGCTGGCCCCTAGCATGTGTCCAAGACTGGGCAGGGCGCGGAAAGGGAAAGTGACATTTGGACCTGATGATGGATCACAGCAAGGAAGAATTATGTCCACTTCTGCCTTTTGGCAAAATACAAAGAGTTTTTTAATTCCACCTGTAGTTTTTGGAACTAATTTCCCAGAAGCAATCATACAAAATATTTACTGTCTTATTAGTGTGTCTCCATGTAACAGTTTTTGGTTTTTTTTGAAGATGAACAAGATACGCCCTTGTAATGGAAACATTCCTTCACCCACATTCATAAAAATGAGGTCATCCCAGTTTGACTATAAGATATTCAAGTGAGCTGCATGTGTTTTATATATCACTGATTTTGTAATAGTAAAGCTATGCAGAAGTATTATAATAAAGAGATAATAACACACATCTATTTTTGTATCCATGTGTGGACAATGCATTTCTTTTTTAGAGAGACAAATAAATGAACATACCTGTGGGGAAGAATTCATTCATTTTCTTCTTGTAAATTTTGTAGTCAACCTCCAAAAATACACACAAAATGACACGATCCATCTGGAGGAAAAAGAAGTAAGGATTTAGTACATAAGGTGTTTGGGGGCCTGTAAACAAGCAAGCAAACAAACACTGAGTTGTAACACAGGGTGGGCCATTTGCATATGTCCCCAATAACTGGGATCAAACAATGTGAGAATCCACACTCCAGGCTTGAGTATAGGTTGCCAATGAATCATGGGTTATTGTGTGGTCTGAACCCAGGCTGTGTCTCTGGGAGGCTAAGAGACTGAGCTATGAATCAGGATGTCTCCAGTTTGAATCTCCACTTTCACTGCAACACATTTTTCGCTTTAGGCAAGCCATTTTGTCTCAGTCTCGCTTGCCCGATCCCCAGTATGGGGAATAATAACAACAGCGCCAACACATATGCAGTGATCTGGATCCTGAAAGGCTACACAAATCACGATTGTGATTATTTTCCTTCATGGATGCTTTGTTCAATGCCTCACTCCTCATCCTTTCCTGAAATTAAGTACATTCACCTGTTAATCTCACATCTGTGTGCCCTCCCCCTTTCCCTTTGGATCCCACCTCCATTGAAAAAGGATCGTAAGCTCTGTGAAGCAGGCGCCTATCATTTTGCTAACAGTTCCCCAAGTGCCATGTACACTTATGCCAGTATGAAATAGTTAAAAATTGCAGTCTCTGTTAGCAGCCAGCTGTTGATGCAACCCAGCCTTGAACATGTGGTACCCAGGTTCCATCTAGCTGAACATGTGTGACCCAAGTTCAATCTAGCTGATTACCATAATGTAACATTTTGCAGATGAGTCTTCAGACAGACACCCGCCAGGCAAATGAACAGGTGAATGAGGTAAGGCAAAGAATTTTCCATTCAGTTTCCCTGAAAATAGTTTTCCTGCAATGTTTATTATTCTTGAAAGACTTTTGAAAGCTTCTTTTCCTCCATCAGGATTTTGATAACCCTACCTACCCTTAATCTGGAGATGCTTAAACAAAAATAAAATGAGCAGCACAAGTCAGCCAGATGGCAGGCAGTGAAAACAGTAAATAAAACAGTTCGCACAGAAGAAAAGCCAGTCACATGAAAGGCATAAACAGTACACAACTACTAGTTCTTAGCAAGAATTCTTGGCAAACTATTTTGTGTCAAAAGAGTTTATTCAAAGGATTCATCAAGAAGAAGAGGAGGAGGAGGAGCAGAAGAAAGGGGTGGCGGCGGCAGAGGGCATTAATATTTCACACCTGCTGAGTCCCTTCTTCCCCCGAATTCCATGTTTGAACATGTTAACCCATGTTTCAACAACAACCTACAGTTCAGTGACAACCCACACTCCATCCTTGCTGTCTGAACCCTGTCAGTATATAAAATGGAGCCATCAATCATCATCTCTGTGGCTGTTCTGGGAAACAGCCAGCTTTTTATGCACTGTTTTCAGGACAATGGTACAACAATGTCTGCCAACACAAGGGACAGGGGACACACACACACACAGTCCCATGCATCCCCTCTCCATCTGCCCCTCCTTCCCTCCCTCTCACACACATTTTGGTTGTCAGCTGAACTTGTAACTCCTACCTAGATAGCTTTCTTTTACGACACCGCTAACAGCTGAGTACTTGGATCCAGTATGAGGGCTGTCATTGAGATCCTCAGCCCGGAGCTCAACTGGAAGACCATGAGTCTGCACTCTGGTTGAGCTGACTTGGGGCCAGTGTGTCATCAGATTCCAGCTATGTAGACTTCCACTATATGTGCTGGGGGGAACAGCCAATTTCCTCCTGCCTAGGTAGGATTTAGTCTAGAAATAGAGGTTCTATTTCTCAACCCATTTTCCCTGCAGTCTTTCCCTCCGCTGGCCCCTGCCCAGCCTCCCTTTACCTGGTGCTGCTCTGGCAATAACAGTGGGAAGGAAGGACTCTCCATGTGTCCTCCATGCGTCTTCTACTCTTGACTCGTATCCACAGTATCACTCTCCATACTGGTGTTATGACTGCCATATTACTACCATACGACCACCCTTCCTCCCTCTTCCCTCGCTTCTCCTTTCCTCCCTTGCCCCTCTATCTCACATGCACACACAAAGTGCAAATATAGGCCTCACTTTGTTACTTTTAGCCAAGTGAGTCCCTTTGGTGCTTTCCTTTCCTAATTAGTTAATTTCTTAATCTTTCAGCAAACTAGTTCTTCAACAGAAATTTTACAGCTACATTCTATGCAGCTCCAATATTTCAAAAACAAAAATGCAGAAGAGTCCATACACATTCACACTTTATATTGTGCATTTATGTAGCATATGTGACTCAATGGCAGCTTTCCCTAGCTCCACATTTCTTCAGTCTAATGAGAAGGAAACTTTCTAAAGGAAAGTTTCTTCAGGAAACCCAAAGATTTTTCTAACCCCACAAAACTTTTAAAGTGGCCCCAGCATATATAAACCATATATAAGACAATTCCTTAGAAAATGTGTGAAGAAAGCATCCTATTTTTAAGCACGCATCGGTGCTGTGATGACAGCTCAGATCCTGTGTTTATCTGATTGAATGGCATGTGTTGGCAGATAGTAAATTGAAATTAAACTATATTCCAGCATCTTGCCAGTCAGAGGACATTTTATCCAAGACAGCCAGATAAAATAAGATGAATTTAGCCTGTGGAAAGTATTCCTTCTCTTCACCACTTCCATTCTGAGTCAAATAACTATAAAGGGGGTGGACGCAGAAAGAGAATCACTTGGATGTTAACTTATAATAGCCCTACAGGACTCCTGGGACTGCCTTTTGTCATCCACTTCTTATTCTACTGAGCCAATCTTCCCTCTCTTGAGGTTGTGAAATGCCAAGCTGATTAGACATTTCATGCTCCCCTCTCTTCGCAGAGGGAAAAGTGAGAATATGGAGATACTAATCTGACCAGGCTCATCAGCGAGCCAGCCAGAACCCTGCCACCATCTCTGGTACTTCCACAGCCAAGTGGAACAAAACCAGTCATCTGAGGAAGAAGCTCAAAGGGGCAAAAACATGAAGGTATTATGACTCACCCTTGATTGACAGCTCTGTTTTTGGATCCTGGTGCTGGCAGCATGTCTCCCCCCCCCCGCACCCTCCCCCCCCTCCCGCAGGCTTGATTAAATTTTGCTTGCTTCACAGCTATGAATAGGCAGATCAAAGAGGCCATAAGTGAAGAGCAGGCAGCAAAGGAAGAGGAAAGTTCAATTGCATTAGCTTTTCACTTACCAGGCAGCTTCACAGCTCCAGGCTGTGGATCATATTGATCTTTCCCTTCTTTTAGGGCCTGTGGTAATTCATGAAATCTATTTAAGGCCAGAGTGTTGCTCTTTGGGTTTTTTCTTTTTTTCTTTTTTGTAACCAAGTATCTTCCTTAGCTTAGAAAGTTTCCAGGACTCTGCCTTGACAGAGTAAGAGGAATATTTTTTAAGACAGAGCAATCGCCAAGTTCGATTTTTAAAACCAGTAATCATGTGTTCTGGTGTGCCTACGATCTGAAACGATGACATCCTCTTCACAGGATCAATGAAGATGACATTTCCCACTATTTTGGTAGGAAGCACCTATGTGCGTCTTCCTTTTTCTCAACTGGAGGGAGGATTTCGGGCAGACTTCCACAAATGGATGTCCTCCAGATGGTTTGGCATCAGCTAGCAATTCCGATCAGTTCCAGCCAACATGGCCAGTGACAGGAATGCTGGCACTTGCGGCCTGAAGTGCCTAGAGGGTACCAGGTTGGGAAAGACTGATTGAGAACATCCCTGTGAGATGGTTGCACGCTTCCACTGGGACAGCAATGGATGGGGAGTGACAATGCAGTCGGAGTGCTCAGACAAAACAGCACTCCAGAAGCAGGCTCAAGAAGCAGGCCTGCAGCCAGCCTAAAGGTTCTGAGAGGATGCCAAAATGTGTGCTCATCTTGTTTTCAGGCCCTTTAAAGACAAAAATGCACTTTGTTTTTCAATTATTCATTTAAAAAAAAAAATAGGGGGACAGAGGAAAATAAGGGGAGGCAGACCCTTTTTGCCCAACCCTGGCTACAGGCCTGGGTCCATGCCAGACACTTATGTTTAAACTGGGTGTACCCCTCTACTAAACATAAGGTAGAAGTCTCTCTCCTGGCCCATGACTTATCTCCATGCTGATGGAGCTGGGTTTTGATACCAAAATTAAGACCAACTGAAGGAAAAGGAGGGGGAGCTGAGAAAGGATCCCCACCAACTTATGCAGCCATGAGCCTCTGGACCCCCTCTGCTCCCTTCCCTTTACCCAGCACTGCTCTGGCAATAACAGTGGAAAGAAAGACAGACTCTCTTCCTCCCTCCGATGCCTGGAACACTACTACAACAGTGACCCAGCACCAATAGCCCAGGGCTACCCTTCTTTCTTTCCTTCCTTCCCTCCAGCACCAAATAAGCAGCATGTGAGTAGGAGAAAAGGAGAAAAAGAGCAGAAAAGGAGTAGAAGGGATCATAGACCTCTGGGTAGGAAAGAGAATTGCATCTTCTTCTGTTCCTAATGAGGTAAGTGTGGCTACAACAGGGTCTGTTTTGACTTGGAATTGGGCTTGAAACCAAGCAAGCTGTTGGGGGAAGAGCTCAGTTTGCTGGGTCCATTTAAGAGGCAAACAGGGCATGAAGGGAGGGGAGGGTGCCTCGTGAACAGATATACATTTGTTAGGACTAGGACATAGCAAAGCTGGAGTTTCAGTAAGCCCCCAAAAAGGACAAATACCAAAATGAAGTATGCCAGGTCATCTCGCTGTCACAATGACCATTGTCACGTATGGTGACATGGACAACTGCAGCCTCTTAGGAAAGCATCCGAAATTCCATGAATCACTCCAACTGCAGAAGGCCGTTTCTCAAGAAAACCCTTACAGACCTGGACAGACTCTACCCACCTAAGCAGGAAGCAGTAGAATGGGCATCATGCTACAGCAAAGACTTCCCTGAACAAACCAACCAGCTACTGGAGCTCTGGCACGCC